CGAGATTCTCTATACTACAATCCAGATTACGTTCACCAACACCACTAATTCGATCATATCTCGATCGTAATTTGTAAATTAGGAACTCGCTCTGAGTAGGCTTTTAGAATAGCTTTTCAATAGAATTTTTCAATAAAAATTTCTGAAATATAGTGGTATTGGTTCATATCAGAGTTGATGTGATCTTGACATTGGATTGAATCAATTCTGATTTTGAACTTATTCTCATTTGGGTAGTCATGTTACATAAACATCTGAACTCGAGCGGTTGCGCGTAAATTTCATTTTGCGATTTTTTTTTTTGAAATAAATCACCGGTAATCCTGTCAGTACTTTACCCTTTATACTCTTTATAATTCGTCTTCACAATTTTTCTTTTCACTTTGCGGATCCCAGTATTCCTGGCTTCCAAGTCTTTTTTCGTCTTCTTCATGAACGTGGTGAAAGAAATGGTCGCGAGCGTATCCTTGCATTTTTGAGGATAGCTTGGCTGTAGCGATCTATTAGGAATTTGTTGTTAACTGCCGCTTAGTACTGGAAGTTGGGATAGGCCACGCGCGGGTCGCGACGAGTATCGCAACCACTCGGCCACGGCGCCCCAATTCCGGCTAGTAACGTTACGTTATAGGAAGACCACTTCGTACAAATTGAGACAACAAATAAACCCAATAATGTCAGAGTGATGCGCGAAAGTTTTGCATTAGCGGGCACTCGAACTCGTACTTCACCTTATCCGGAGGCTCTTGCTCTATTCCTTGCACTACTGACGCCCATTTTGCCGCCACTCTTTTCATACCACCGCTAGAAGCGGTTAAATTAGAGGAATTCTGTCTGATCATCTTATACCCAATATCTGTCAGCTTGACTGATTTTCATGTTGATATCGACTAATGACAAACCATTGATGGTTGGTTGCTGATATATAAATGCTTTGTAGCGTGAAAAGAGCGGTGGCAAAATAGGCGTTGGTAGTACAAAGTATAGAGCACACGTTCCACTATTGCGTGAAATGCGGGTTCGAGCCCCGCTTGACGCGAAAGCTTTGCAAATCAGTCTACATCAGCGGGTGATTCATAACGTCATACCACCACTAGAAGCGGCCAAATAAAAAGAATTCCGTTTGATCTTCCTATAACAAATAAACTCTTGGCGTTGATGAATCGCTGAGGATGCACCATGCATCCAACTCTATCAACCATTGTAGAGGTGACTGAATGTGGCTAACTACACGATGACTTGCGATAGTCTACCAATGTGTCACGTTATTATTGTTACCGACCCAAAGGGGGTGGAATGCTTGATGAGCCTGGGACGTGGATAGAACCAATGAATACGTGAACGTTGCAAGGCATCTCTAACCACTGCCTGTATATGCCTTTACTCTTCGTATATTAGCATTAATAATTGTGCTGAAATCACAAAGCAAAAAGTACTTTCGTGGATCATTATTTTTTTTTTTTTTTTTGCCAAACCACATAAATTCATTCACGTCATCAATCCTATAATCAAACATGTACACTCCATATACTCCCTGTTTGCTTGGTTTCAGGTTTTTTACCAAATATATGTGTCTTTAGAAAACTATTCACACACTAGTTGATTGTGAATAGATGTATGAAAGGCATGTATGTAATGAAAATATAACTCCATCCAATAGTGAACAACGATAGGGTGGTAAAGCTTCAGCGTTAATCAATTTCCATGAGGACTGTTTCGTCCTCTTAGACATGCCGTCCTAATTTGCTGATACTGAAGTAGCGAAAAGCTTTGTGCGCTCGAGACACCGGTTTGAGCCAACCGTCGGTTCACTTTCTAGTAGAGGGTTGAAACACTGCGCTCTACATATACTAAGACAGTGAATAAAGAAGGCTCTCCTGATGATCAGCTCTGTGACTGCGCAGACAATGCTTGTTGAGGAACGAGAAAGTGCCTAATTTGCGTTGTTTAATGTTCTCGTAGTCCTTGATTAACTTGAGAATATATATTATATATATATATATATATATATATAATATATATAGTATATATATACTCACATATATACATTCAAATATACACATGCTACGTGAAAACTAGAAAGAAAATTACAGCAGATGGAAAAAAGTAAGGCTCCATGGAAGCCTAATCTTCTGCACCGTTCTAATTTGGAAACTGTTCCTCTTGGACTAGCTGTAATCATTACATAGTTTATCAACTTTCGATAAAATCCCAATTGGTCCAAGAATAACTGTCCTCGCCATAATTGGTCACCCGATTATTTCAAACAATTCTCTTCAAAAAAAAAAAAAAGTGTCGAGTGAACAGAGTCCGTGATCCAAGCAATCAAGTGGAGATTACTAAAGAGAAATTTCTTCGAGCGACGCATAACATTACATCACGAAACTTCAAACTATCGTATGATCAGAAGACTTCCAGGAAAAAACTTGTAAACGAAGATCAATCATCGGAAAAAAGTAAAGCTCCGAGAGGAGTCGCCTCGTTGTCAATGTGATAGGCAACTCAGGAAGATAGATTCTGAAGATTACATGTCGAGCAGATATTAGCGAGAATTTAGAAAAGCAAAGAACTTTCAAATATGTTTCGGTCTGGGAAGAGAATACCTGGACTGGCGTTGCTGCTTTGAGACATCCAAGAGATGTAGATGACATAGTGACTCTATTAATGCTTTAACACGTTTCGGATGAAATGGGCGCTGTGGTGAGTGTGCGCGATTGGACTGCCCTTTAAATTTCCCTTATGAAAAGTTTCCCCTTTCTGACGTGTGATTTTCTTTTGTATATCCAATTCTTTTTAGGAACAAGCGGTAAAACGACTGTTCCAGGAAACCACCACACCTCTTTTCGTGTTCCACAAAAAAAAGACATTGAAATGTGTTCTTATAATTGTCAAGGATTTTCTTAAATTCAACAGTTTCTAGCATTGGTATGATGTTACACATATAGCATATAACCTTGAGAGGTATGCAAAACTTTGAACGTCAGACGAGAATCGAACCCGCATTTCACACTTTGCGGTGGCGCGTCCTAACCAATTGCATTATTGAGGTTCCTATTCTGCTATCACTCTTTGGCTACACTGCCGATGTGTGCTTATCAGGCCAAAATGTTCAGGGTAGGTTGCTGATAGATGGACACGTCGTATCGCACATGGTAGTGATTCCGCTCTTCATGAGTACGGTGCTAAGAGTTGGCAACAATTCTGCTCTGAAACATCTCATTCCCTAAATTTCAGGTGAGAACTCTGTGAGCTAGCTGTCCCAAGGCTTCACGGAGAATCACCTCGGCAAGCAGTTAACAATGTACATAAAGAAGACGATCCTCAAGCAGTAGTCAGAGCCACACGCGAAAACGACAGTTTCAAGATGCTCATGGATGTGGATGCAAGAAAACGAAGCAAACGCAAAAAGGATTGGTATTCGCTCAATTATGAGCGCATGAGGCGTAGTGGTTAGAGGTGCCCTGCGTTGCACACAAGGTCAATGATTCATTGGATCGAAAAACGGGTCGGGTAAAAAAATATTTAGCACAACTTTGATTCTACACTGAATGGAGGATGTTGACGGGAGACATCGACAGCCCATCACCGCTTGAGCAAGAAGCGAGCGGTTTATTTATTGTGGTTAGATTTCACACAATACCTCCTACCCCACTCTCTTATACCATAGAGCCCGATACACGTGTTTCGATCTTGCGATCTCGTCAGTCGGGCAGTTACCCTTTCTCGTCTTTTGCTAATCTCTGTGAGTGCTCCAGTTCCCACACCAAGAGTTAGCGACGACGAACATTTTACACTCTATGTCCAGTGAAAATCTCACCGAACATAGAGTGTTGTACACTCGATTGCTCTTGGCTGGTATATTCAAAATATCTTATCTTTCAATTCGAGTGTTTTCTTAGGACCACACCTCAAATTTCAATATGCCTGATAATCATTATTTGAGCCACGCATGTGACTAGAGCACCCACAGAGATTAGGCAAAAGACGAGGGTAACAGCACGACTGACGAGATCGCAAGATCGAAACACGTGTATCAGGCTCTACAAGTCAGCCCTCCTTGACAGACCACTGACATGCGTGACTCAAACAATGATTATCAGGCATATTGAAATTTGAGCTGTGGTCTCAAGAATACACTCGAATCGAAAGATGTGATATTTTGAATACACCTTTTTATTACGGTGCAGTAGCGAAAATAAATTTACGCTTCATCTTTGGCGAGCACATTTGGTTCGGCCAGAGATTGTGGACAGCTTTGCAACAGAGTTTCAGCATTTATTCGATAACAAAATTGCGATAAATCTTGAATTGAATTTGATTTTCACAAACCTTTTCGTGGAGCGAAAACAATGTTGGTGGCAAAGTGACATCATGCCACAGTGACCCACTTACCCTCATTCTAAGCAACACTAGCGTATTTCATTCACCTCAACAGCGTTTCCATTCAGCTTCTCATTTCTATGTATCATGAGTGGACTCTAAGAGTTGATGCAATATTCAAGTTCAATTTAGAAAGAAGGGGAAACATGGGGAAACTTGCGAAACGGAACGAAAAATGTAAACAAAGTGAAGTATTAGGTTTTTCCAAAAGTTTCACTACGCAAAATTGAAATTGTTATAGTAAAGAACGGTGCACAATTTTGGTACTGTTTTTTTTCTTGAAGAGAAAATTGCCTTAGTTGACTAGCCAGTCATCGCTGCAGCATTATCACGATCACCTTTCCTCCTGATGATCGTCGAGTGACGCACGCTGCGCCACCAATTTATTCATCATCCTTGTCGTATTCAATGTTCAGTTTCATAAACTTTTTCGGAAATTTTCGCAAAAATCTTTGGAAAAAGTTTGTTTATCTCTTCGACAATAATCATGCGCTGTGCTTGAATCCCGCTGAACCTAATGACCAATTACCGACTGCAATCAGAATTGATTTTATCTAATCGCCACTTGCGGTGTTATGATGTTACAATATACCCAATAATGTAGAGTGCTGTGCAGAAAAATTAGCGTCAAACGGGATTTGAACCCAGATCTCACTCTTTCCGGGAGCGTATGCTAACCGTTGCACTTTCGACGCTCGTTTTGCACAGCACTATTTCTACGCTACAACGCCTTATCTGTCAACAGCTAACTGTCTACGGTCTGGCGGGATAGTCGTCATCGACATTGAAACCACTTATGGTATCAATAGAGTGAGATTTGGGTTCAAATCCCGCCTGACGTAAACGTGTTTGCACAGCACTCTACACTATTAGGTATAAACCGATTGTCGTTATGACTTTCATCGTATAATCTGTGAGAATGTTCAAGCCTCACAGAGGTTATTACGTCAGAGCCATACGCGTTTCGGAGGTATCGCCCATGCAGCACACTGAACCGACGCACACTGAACACGACTTTGATAGTAGGGGTGGGGAGACGTATGTGGTTATAGCATAACGTACAATGATATTGTATTATTCACCACTTTTTCAGTCGATGGATAGCTGCTGGTAAATACAGATTGATCCATCTCATCGACTGTTTTTCAACTTCCATCCAGTACTCTCCAATACACTTTCAATATTATAGGATGATCAAGGATCCTTTCTACGTAGCGACTAGGTTTCCGGTGATTATGCTCACGCAAAAATATCGTGGATTCAAAACGATGCTCACGAACTCGAGTGTTCTTAGTTAAGTCATAGCTAAGTTCATCACGTTAAATCATTACCCAAATGCACATTACGGTAGCAATGGAAGATATTTGCTACTTGGAGCGTAAACGAGGCATCGGAAACATCATTTTTCGTGCGTATTTCTTGACATACGCACAATAACAAATTTTTCCACAAGCATTGTTGTAGTCTATCAACATTATTAGCTCAACCAGGTGAATTTTTGCTAATAGTGGGTTGGAAAAAAAGAGTTGGGGCACTGGTAAAAAATTGTAAATCTATGCATGAATTTGAAACAAAAGCATTAATAACTATCTTTAAAAGAAACGCCATCGTTTCCTACGACTTTCTTTCAGTCGCTCCCCCAAGTTTCGGAGCCGTATCCGTTTCCAAAATCGGTCATTCAGTGGATTGTTGAGCAGTTGACAAGTGTCGAATCTTTTGACGGATTGTGCTCTAGTGAGTTCATGCAGATCTTGTCGTGCATTTATAAACAAAGTTAAGCTGGTGGAGATGAGTCAGCAGAGTTGTATGTGAAACATCAAGTTTGGTAGGCAATTCGCGAGCACTTAACGGCGGTTCATCTTCCAGAGCCGCAATCAAATCTTTGATGTTCAACTATGTTGGATGTCCTGGACGAGGCTTGTCTTCGAGTTCGAAATCTCTGGCACTAAAGCGCTGAAATAAGCGTCCCTTTGCTTGTAGTGCCTTCCCCTTCAACTTCGTTGATTTCATCGACTTCAGCTCGCTGTAAAGGATCCTTACTCCAATAATGACGCAATAAAGCACGAACTTCGATTGTAACGTTGGACATGTCGGAGGCTTTCAGACTGGAAATAAAGACAATTAATATCCACGCCTTCACGGGGAAAATCCCACATAAGGGGCTGTAATATTCCCGTGGTGTGCATGGGAGCTATCTTATGGTTACTAGAGTGTCTCAGAACGTTCTATCCAAGCGTAGTATTATAATGATGTCGACAGCAAAGCGATGGGCATTTATCGATTTTCACTCACATTTTTTTCTAAACGGTCATAGCAAAATTATTCTCAAGAGTGACTGTAAATAATTTAGGCGCGATAGTATCTACCAGTCGAACGTGCATCTTTACATTATTGTTGATAGCGTTGATGAATGTTTTCTAGAAGTAAAATTTTTCTGAGTAGGGATGCTAAGGCTATTCAGAACCTCTTTGACTACTACTGATTCAAATGAGTCAAAAGCTTATCCAAACTGACGAAATTGAGATGGAGCAATTGTTGCACTCTCGTGATCCTTCAATGAGTCACCAGATTGAGTGGATGTGGTTTATCGTACTGTGTCCTTCTCGATTTTGTGCTTACTCACATTGCTGTTATTCGTTTATATGTTCAATTTTGTTGACTATTTCTCCAGTGAAAGGTCTGTAAACGAAATGTAGCAAGTAGATAAAGTGACAGCTGTAAAGGTCATCGCAGTCTCTTTTCTGCGAGGCAACACGGTCTGCTCATCTTCCGTTGATTTGGAATCATAAATTCTTACAGCAACGTGCAAGGAATGGATAAGATGGAGGGTAACCCCTAATCTGCCCGGGCCTTAATTCAACCTTGCGCCGAGCCCACTAATCCTCTCACCCTTCCTGAATCGGAAAATTATTATTAGAGATGTCTGGGATTTATTCAACCCCTCTAATTCACATACAAGCGTCCTGGCACGGCTACTATCACAGGACTCGCAAATAATAAACTTTACCGGCATTCAACGAAATTCTTAACAAAAGTAAAATCCTCAAGCAGGAGGTGAACTTCTACAAAGAGCTGTTTAAAGACATTTGTGAATAAGGATGTTAGAAAAGGAATGGATTGCAAGAAGTGGTGGGATCAGCATAATATGATGCATGAGATGTTTGAGTCATTCGGCAAATTGTGCGATGAGTAGAGTCAGCGTATTAATGTAGATTGGTGGAATGGTTTTCAAATGAGATCAGCTGCCGGTGCTGTGTGGACAGAGTTTTGTACGATTCTTTACCGAGTACACAGTACGTCAGAGTTTGAATGGGTATCGCTGGCAAATATCAGTCCCCCTTGGTTTCATGGAAGGAGGAGGACGTGGCTGCTGAAGAGATAGGATTAGTGGATACAGATGAGTTGCCCGTAATTATTCTGCGTAGTGATTGTGTGATGATCATTGCCGAATAAATTACAGGATTCATGCCTTCCTCCATCCTACAGATCAAGACCTTGCCACTGCTCCTCTCTTCTTAAGACTGATTCTCTGCACTTTTGCGGGTTCGCACAAAGTTGATGCCTATGGCTCGTGTGATTCTATGTGATTGATGAATCGCGTGATTATGGAGAGTAACGTCCTTCAATGAAAACAGTCTTCGTAGCACTAGCGCGAAGAATCTGATAGGTCTTTTCAATTTTCTATCGATATAGTTAGCTATTATGAGCGAATTGGTTACATAACCCCAGCAAACTTTGGCTTGCCTGACCCAGTGGTCAATGGTGGCCTGCACCACGTAGTTGTTGGTACGATCCCGCGTCTAAGGCTCTCCAAGCCTCTAATCCATGCAGAGTTAGAAATTCGATACCAGTTTTGTCTTGGATGAGTAAGCACTACTGATAAATATTAGGCCTCAGAGCATGAGTGTCATTGTACAGGTCAGATGTGCATTCAATGACCTTTAAAAATATTCAGTAAAGGCGAATGCATGGCGTATTCCTATGGGATTGATTATCGCTGAGAGCTTTCATATTAAAGTCAAACACTCGCCCACTCTTTTCGTTTCATTCCAATCAATGAGCCTCAAAACGACGTTATACATAACTTTGGCTTACATTGGTATCGGCATTACTGTCCTCTTTTGTGAAACTTCCACACTTCCATACAGAAAGCTTCAACCTCATTTTCGTCCCTGTTTGAGTTGGTGCATACACAGAAAAATCCTTCAATGCTGGTTTTGGATTAGATATTTATCTTCGTTTTCTTTTCCGTGATGAAGAGGATGTCAATGCCTTTGACTGTTCTATTGCCTCTTGTTTCGAAGAGCAATCCTTTTCTACTATTAAAAACGGCAGAGCGCATCTGGCGCAGTGGTTGGAGGTGCTCTGAATCGCTCATAAGGCCGACGGTGCGATTTTGCGCTCATTGCTCACCAAGCCATCCATCCCTCCGGGGTCGGTAAATTGGTACGTCTCAGACTTTTTTGGGAGGATAAGCAGCACTGACTCGATACAGCGAGCGGACACCACGAGTCATCGTGAAGGTCAAATTCACAGATGCGTTCAGTCACCTCAAACGAAGTTGAAAATTGAAGACGAATACATGGCGCATCCCTCAGGGATTGATCGAACGCCGAGAGCTTTAGCCTTTTGTTATTATAGACGGCGCTAAACAGGTGGTGCATCTCGTCTTGAGCAATTCCATGACATCGTAGTTAATATTCTAAGCTTAGATAATCAGGTGCTCATAACGGGGATTTGAGTAGTAAGAGCGCTCATAAGTACGACTCGTCACCTTAACCTGTCCAATAATGGCGTTTAGACTTAGTAGACTCTCCATACTCGTCCTACCCAAAGCTGTCATATTGGGGTAGCGTCAATGAAGACTTTATATTCTATTGTGTTAGACTACTATACCAGGCGTAGTTTGTGGACTTGTCAGGGTGGAGGTGGATATGTTTACGAGTATTTTTTCAGTCACTTCAAAATTTTTGCGTTATCAATGCCCAACTCTACTGCGAACAGCTGGATCGAGTCCACGATGCGTACTGGGAGTATAGTACTTGACAATGATTCGTGGAAAGCGTGCGCTGTTTCCGTTAGGCAATGCCAAACCTCACACCGCAAAGAAGATTGAGGAAAATTTTGATGAATTGGAGGGAGTCGAGGTCTTGTTGCACCTATTCTACAGTCCAGACGCAGAGCTGTCCGATTATGACTTTTCAGCTCAATGGAACACAATCCCTACGTTAGCGTCGATTCAGGACGTTTCATCAAGCTGAATAGGCATGTCGGGAGTGTTTCGATTCAAAGCCCCACGTAATGAGTTGAGTAATAGTTGAGTAATGCGCAAATTTTGGACGTCGGACGGGAATCGAACCCATATTTACACTCTCTACGGGGCGCGTGCTTAAGCGTTGCGCTATCGGCGCTCGTTCTGCTGTCACTCTCTCTGTGTTTGCACATCACTCAACATTATTGGATACATATTCGTAATATCATATCACCGCTAAAAGTGGTTAATAAAAGTATTCTAATCGATCATACATATTTCTGTTATCTGTCGGCGCGACTGATTTCAGTGCGATGTCGGCTTTCCAGGCCAAACCGTTGACGGTCGGCTACTGACAGATTGCTGGAAGAACGAACGCTGGTAGTGCAATGGCTAGTATATGTCCTGGAAAGGGTGAAATACGGGTCGGATCCCATTCGACATTCGATGATTTTGCTCATCACTTAACAAAATGGGATTGCATACATAGATTTCCTAGATAAAGCTTCTACCTGCAATTGGTTTAATGCCTCATCGGAACTAGTGAAGGAGCATGCTCCCTTCAGCAAGATGATCCAGGCTTCGAAGGATTTCGACATTTGCGTGTGGGTATCTTAGCTAACATTGAGACTATATGTAATCGACCAGAATTCTTCATTTAATCGTTTTTAGTAGTAATATAATGTTATAACTTTATATTGCATAACGTTCAGTGATTTGTAGAACTTTGGACTTTGGGAAGGAGTTAAACCGGGATCTCACTCTTTTCCAAAGGGAGCGTGCTAACCATTGCACTACCGCGGCGCCTAGTCTGTTACACTCTTTCTGCGATGCAACATTTATCGGATTCAGGCTATATCACATCAGAGCACTGTAATCTACACGTGGCAACTTTACAATCAAGAACAATAGGAACAAAGGGCGGCGCAACCGCAGTGTGATCCTGTTCATGTCCGCCAAATGCACTTTGGCTGAAACAGAAGGACGATGAATTTTGTCAAAAACGCATTTCAGTTGAGATGGCTTGTTCATGATATCGAACAACGGGCGACGGAGGAAATCAGAGTTCTTCATTAAATCAGCGAAAGATCTACTTTTATATTTAACTGCTTTTTTAAGACCTCGCTAAAATTACCACACCCTGACAGCATATTTTGAGCCTTTCATAAGGTCTGTAATGGGCACATATACAGTGCAATCACGTGTTTCGGCCTTGCAGCCTCGTCAGTTGCACAGTGGCCCTCGTCTGAGCCGACCCCTTTCGTTGGGAGAAACCCTTACGTCGTCGAGACATCGGCGACGAGCAATGACACCGTGTGTAAAATGAAGATTTACTTCGTCCACGGATGATATATCAATGCATGTTCAGTGACATGACCAGCCGGACACTGCAGTGAGTAACAGTCGATGGCTCAAGGCTGGTAATTTTAATATGATACCACTATATTCGACTGTTTTTTAAGACCTCGCTTAAAGTCAATACATCCGAGATGAGGTGAATTTTCATTCTACACGCGGGGTAACATGTCCGTCGACGATTACTCTATGTAAGGCGGTTCTAACCGAAAGGGATTGACTCAGACGGGAGGTTATGTGCAATTGAGGAAGCTGCAAAGCCGAAACACGTGTATTGCACTGTATAAAGTGCTCCATAACAGATCTCATGAAAGGCTTAAAATATGCTGTCAGGAAAGATCTACTCTTTCGCAAGATATGCAATTACAGATCACGGGTTGTGGTCGAGCCTGGCGTCGAAGTTTTGCACATTGCTCAATATCACCGGATATATTCTATTACAGTAAATTGAGTTTTTGTGTGAGGTCTCAAAATAGTCGCTTGGAAGGCACTGCTATATGTTGTCATTCTCATAGTTTCTTCTAAAACGGAATGAAATCCGAGCCGCCAAGTCATGTTTGGGACTGCTGTGAGTCTGTAAATAGCACGTGGTTCAGGAGGACATCTTTCTGCCATGAGTCCACAGTGACATTAACTCCATATGGAGAGTTCGTTATTGTAATCTAGCAGTCGCTGCCTCTGTTTTTTTTTTTTACAGCGGTCAATCTCCTCTTGATAGAATTTCTGCTCCCAAATGGTGCACAGCCTTGTCGTGGCTGACAGGTAGGTGTTTTTGGGTGTCGAACTGAGAAGTACAGCGGGGGATTGCACCCCCAGCAGGGCCACCGAAGGCGAGGAGTCAGATGTTTCTACCCGGAAAGCCCCGCTAATATTAAAGAACCACGAACGATCGCCGTCTTGGTAGAGCTACTAGTCGCATGATGGTGATATTTCTCTGATCCACAAGGGCCAGGCGAATGTTCTAATGTGGTGATGACCCGAAAAAGCCCCGGCTAGGCTAACTTGAGGACTCCGGGAAACAAAACATTTCATGTGCTGGGGCCCGCACAATTCGTGAAAGACGGACCGTCAAAGTATCCAAGTAAGTAAGTACGCCTACTTGGCTAGGCAGAGTGCGTCGTATTCAATGAACTCAGCCACAAATGCCTGCGGGTAGTGCCAGCGCTGCTGATCTACATTTTGCTCATGATAAAGGATAAAAGGATAAATCTCCCGGCGTTGATCAATCCTAATGGAATGCGCCATGCGTTCGTCTTCAATTTTTGACTCCGTTTGAGGTGACTGGATGCATATCTTGCCTTTTCAATGACTCGCTGTGGCCTCCCGCTGAACCGAGTCAGTGCTGCTTATCCTCACAAACAAGTCTGAAAGCCGTCTGGTACTAATTTACCGACCCCGAAGTGATGGATGGCTTAGTGAGCCAGGGCGCGAGATCGAACCATCGACCTCGTGTGCGACGCAGAGCACCTCTAACCACTGCGACACATGCGCTCTTATGCTTTATGATACTCCAGAAAAAGATAAAGTCTTCGATAGGACGCTCGATAGCGCTGGGTTTTGAAAAAAGGCCAAATTTATCGGACAGCAAGGGTTTTCGAACTTGTCATTGAGATATCGATTGCAGCCGTGGAGGAGCGTGAGAAGCTAGTCGGTCGATGAGAGAACACGGCAAATTCGAAGCCGAACAAAACAGTTGCGAAGTGAGAGGAGACGCAGACACGACTGAATGGCATGACGGGCGAGAGGTAGCCGGATACGGCGTGCATATGCGGAGACCCAGACACGCAACGCACAGGTGATAGTGTGACCGGGTGTGGGGACGGCGGATGGCATGGTGTTGGGGAGAGAGCGCCGCTGTGGTGGAGACGACAGACAGGCGCTGTTCGCGGCGGGTGGTGCGGCGGGGAGTCCCGGCGGCGGTTGCGGAGTTACGCGCGTTCAGCTGATGCCGTGTGTCGTCGTCCTTTATTTTTTCCCCCACCTCATTAGAAAATCGTCATCAATCAATAACAGATCATCTGTCGACTATTGATCGACATCTCCGATCAATATCAGTCTGTTCCAACGACAATCCACTTCTATCTTTTCCCTGTGGTAGATCAAAAAGTAGTCTGTTTACTCTGTCTTAGCTGTTTTTCGTAGAGCTACACCTCTCATTTCTCTTCTGCAAATCCCTCGATTTCAAGGTGTTCTGTCTTTCGCCGAGGTCGCTTGAGAACACTGAGATTAGTCAATTTCGTTCTCTATCTCGCTATTCGAAATCTTTGGTGTTTTACGTCATAAATACCGAAGAGATTGAGTGGCGAGCAAAAATACGGTCTCAGACGGGAGTCGAACCCGCGTTTCATCCATGCGAGGGACGCGTGCTACCACTGCACCACAGAGGTGCATTCGCGTCACCACTCATTCTTTATCTCTCTATGCTTTTACATTATCATCTTTCTTGCCTTTCCTCCCGTTATTCGCTCATTTCTTTTCCAGCGATGACTTTTCTAAAGTCTTCTTCTTCGTCTTTTAAGTGGAATTGCTTTGTTAAAGCTATAGGAAGCAGTATACCCAGTGATTAAGAGTGAGGTGCAAAACATTTGCGTCAGGCGGGACTTGAACCCGCATTTCACCCGCTCTGGGGGTGGTGGTGCAACGGGTTAGAGCTGTAGTGCGAGCTCCCAGATTGAGTGAAGTGCGGGTTCAAGTCCTGCCTAACGCAGATGTTGTGCACATCACCGTACAAGAAAGAGTCCTGTTCGGGAGACAGTTCAGCGTAGTGCTAAAGGCAGTAGACAGTGGTACACCATATTATATTCTAATAGATTGACAACTTTGCATAATTGACAGACTTCTAAGTTGGACCCTCGAGCGTAAATCTTTTTGGGATAGTCGGTTCTGGTTATAAAAGAGTCATGAGACTCGTAAGAGTTCCAATTATACTAAGAGAATTGAGCGATGAGCAAAAATACTACCTCAGGCGGGAGTCGAACTCGCGTTTCTCCTAGTAAAACACTATGAATCTCGAGTATCAATTATCGCAATGGTTGTCGGCTCAATTGGCTTTATAGAGTTTAGTCGCGTACCCGACCAAACCTGTTAAAGGCTGGTAGCTAATAGCTATCATAGAGATATCGAAGAATGGATGGTGGTGCGAATGTACCTCGGTGGAGTAGTGTAGCACGCGTTCCCGGTATGAATGAAACGCGGGTTCGACTCCCAGCCAAAGTCCTATTTTGTTTACCACTCAGTTCTCTTTGGTACATATGAAACATCATAAGACTGCGAAGAAAGACAATAAAAACACTATACATCACTTATAAGAATGTTATTGATTTTGTAGGTCGAACCGTGCCATTTGAAGATTGATCCCAGAATCTATAGTGAAATAGAAACTATTTTTTATTATCGAGAGAAGTTTTTGAAAATCTCACCTCTTGACATTTGTTCTAATTGTCATATGCACACGACTTCGTCCATTTCGTAATAGAGTGAGTAGCAGGTTCTCTTCATATTTCATACAGTTATCATCCTTCGCGACGATGAGGGTCATTCGACTCTAAAATTTCGAATTCTTTTTTCCACTGAATAAAGCATTTTATCAAAGCTTTCAAGTAATCATTGAAAAGCTTAGATCTTGAGGATCCCACATGTTTGCTTGGTTTTCAAAAACGCCTTTGTAGTACGCTGTAGCAGCGAAAATAAAATTATTTTTCACATTCGGTTTGCCTATTTGCTCAGCTGAAAGTCTGTGGATCGATTAAGCTCATTCGATAGCTTAAATCTTGGCGAATTTGATTGCCTAAACTGATTCTCAAAAGGTTTTCATAGCGTACTGCGAAAATGAAAATAAAATTAGGTTTCACGTTCGGAGTTTTCTTGCACGTAGGACTTGTATATGCACATTTAGTATACTTACTTTTAGAGAAAATCGTGTTCTATCAGAGTGATACAGAGAAGTTAGAATCTTTTCCGAATAAAGAGAAAAATCTGTGAAAGAACGAAAATTGCGCGCCACTGGTGACATTGATTATGCTGCCGTCTGTGAAAGGATGTAGTTTAATCTCTGTCTTCATTTATTCATTCGTTTTTGATGCCTTGAATCCGTCATCCACCAAGATGCTCGCGGATTCTCGCTTCAGGAATATCATTGAATGGGTCTGGAATTCATTCTCTCTGAGGTCGTAGAATATGTGACAAACATTGTAATCGACGATTTTGAGACCTCACTTAATAACAATATAATCTGACAATGTATTCTGAGCCTTTCTGCTTGAGGTCTGCTGTGGGCGCTTATGCAGTACAAGACACGTGTTTCGGCCTTCCAGCCATGTCAGTCACACGTGACCTTTTGGTTCAGCCAGTTTCTTGGGGATATGCCCTCTATGTGGAGGAGTCGACGACAAACTTTTAACTTTCGGCGGATGATGGAACAGTCACCGTGGCGTTCTTTCAAAAAATTATAGGCGATTGTGGTGTTTGATGCATATGCCCACGTCGCAGCCATACGCCATGCAATTGACAGTCAATCACACTCGACACTTCGAAAGAACGCCACGATGATTGTTCCACCGTACGTCGAGTGTAAAATGTTCCTCGTCGACTCCTCTATGTGGGTAGGTCTCCGAGGAAATGACTGGAGGAAAAGGTTACCGTGCAATTGACGAGGCTGTAAGGGCGAAACATGTGTCTTGCACTGTATGAGTACCCATAACAAACCTCACGAAAGGTTCAAGATTATGTTATCAGATTATATTGTTTCGAACGTTTGAACAATCTGACGAGTGATGGATGGTTTGGGTGAAATGCGTGTTCGAGTCTCTCCTGAAGTCAAAGTTTTCACATCACTCAACATCACTGAGTATATCTGTAGCATCATACTGTCGCTAAAAGCGGTTAAGTTAAGAATATATTCTGTTTGGTGGATGGTTTGATGACAGTGCAGTGAGATGGAGTTTCAATGGCAAGACGGTTTCTTTAACAATTTTTCTCCTAGTGGAAGTTTCAAATCGTTCCATTTCGGAAGCATTTCGACAGTGAGGGTGTGTGCAGCGAATGATGCTCTGATTGTCATTAGGTCCAGGAGGTCCAGTTCTGGGTTCACTTTGATGCTTTGCTCATGACATTTTCTTGTTGCAATAGTTCGTCATGATCCATCAAGATTCAGTGGATATCATGTTTTTGTACGGAGACGACCGTCAGCCTTCGTTTTAGCAAGAATTAAATATCTAATAGGTTGTAGAAAAAATTCTGTCGTACTTCCAAGGTGTATAAAAAGTCGGATTTTTCTTTGTAGGAGATCAAATGAAAAACCAACCTCATTCACTGGAGAAGAAGTTTTAATAGGAGTGTTGACAATCATTGGAAAGCTTAAATTTCTGGCTAGAGCTCCACATGCTCGAATTTTCAAAACTCACTTTTATAACGCTGTGAAATCCGCACAAAACTATGTCCCAGATGCGCATATTCACGCCGGACACCGCCCTTTCTTTAGGCTTTTGGTAATCAGTCGATAGCATAATCGTTTCTGATTCCAACGGTGTGCTTATATCCTGAAAAGGAGAACTTTCCGGCGAGTTATATATACGCTTGCAACGCAAGAAGTCTGCTGTAGCATCGTCAAGAAAACGCTTTTTTGAAAACTGGCGACGTGAGGCTGTAGTCTCAGCTTCTGGTTAGTTAACACTCATATCACAAGTTCCTCTCCAGCGAATGAGATTGGTTTCCATTGTCCCCTTATTATCAGAAGGAACCAAAAATTTTTTCGTATATCATTTGAGCTCAAACAGAGGACAAATTAATGATCGAAGATCTTCCACATTGAGACAATTGACAACATCGCAAATTTCGTCAACAAACGCCTTGCAGATTTGTCGATGAGCCTCAGAGCGTTGGCACCCAGTTTTAGTGGATGTGGAGCAGCAGACGAATTTCTTCTTCGGACAGCTCCATGCTGAAGGTGTAGACAAATGATATATCGTTCGATGGGCAAGAAACTAGTTTGCTGATGAGCTCAAATTCGCACAAGATACATGTGTAGGAAATCATCTTCTCAGCCAGTACGACAGAACTTTTTCCCACATTCCATGATCATAAACGTTTTTACGTTTGTTGCGAAAAAGAATCACAGAACTTAGTCAAGGATAGTACTCTTCTTTTCGCTTAGTTAGCGCGATATCCATTCATTGAGCACTTCGGACCTTCAAGAGCAGTAAGGTTTTCGAAGACTCTGTTTCCATTGCTTGATTTTTGTGAAGGACCTTCAACTGTGATTCATAGATTCACCAGCTTCTTATGTGTTGAAATGGTAGCTGTCGATGACTCGTTTCCACCGTTGTCATGATCCGATATCCATCTTCAGTGGTTTAAAACCTGGAGCAATTCTTTCATTAACTCGTTCGAGACGGCGTGTATTTGTCCTAGCACACGATTGTGCGTAGGCCTTCTTCGCTGGGCAGGGCTATTTTAAGAGTTTAGCAAATAGTTGAAAGCTGGAATATCGCCGGTTTCAATATTGTGCTTCTTTCCTGATTTAACTTCCTTTTCTAGATCATTGTAGCTCCCGAAGAAAATGTTTCACACTCGGTCTGCTTCTTCGCCGAATTAGGATCTGGGATGAATTGTGGCTAGATTTTTAGCAATTACTCGATATTTAATATCGCAATAACTCTGAACTTAAATTAGTTTTCAAGAAGGTCTTCACAGGGCGGTGTAAGGGCGAAACGAAGTTTACTTTTCACACCCGAAGTAAACCAGCCGTGGCTTGAAAGCCATTGTGGGTTCTTCATAACTTCAAAGCGGTAATATCAAACGAAAAGAAAGGCTAATGCTAATAGAACGGTGTAGCAAAGTCTTTTCTATAATCCTACTACGAGGAACCTTGAGATCTCTTTTGAGCCGGGAAAAAATTCCAAGTGAATAACGAAAGTCGCACTGCGAGCAGCGATTTCAACTACCGCCTCTGAAAGGTGCGATTTCCTATCTTCTTTCGAGGTTTGACTCCCCGTTCAAATATTATTCGATATTCTGATATACCACAATTTCCTCTGCATGATTGTGTGCTTTTGGTGCATATACGCTCTATGGGAATTTTTTCTATACTAAACCCCAGTTTAAGAATCGGCGATTTATAAGCTATCAAATAAGTATGGAACTCTGTTGAAAAGCCACCTACAAATCCTATCCGAGCAAAAAGCACATTCCGAAAGAGTAGCGCGGACTTGTTTTTGCTGCTAAGCGCACTAGAAAGGCTTTTTCAGGAAACAAGCGCATAGTATTGGAATCGCTCAGATTAGGCTATCGAATGATTAATGAAAGTTTGGGGAAAAACGAAAAAAGGCTTTCAAAAAGTCATGTGCCAACTCAAGTGCGCGCCAACTGAACGGATTAATGGTGGTTATTT